GTATTTTATGCGAACTTTCTTACCACTGCATTAAACTTTACTGCACCGACGCGAATCTATGTTGCTTCTTGTTCGAGCGTGAATTACGTACATCGGGTACGACGCTCTCTTCGCTGCGAGCTTCGAGTCCGAGCGATTGGACCGATTGAAATTTCACAAATACTTTGAGTAAAATCGCGTACAAGCGTACTATCGTTTTGTCGATTACGACGTCCCGTCTGTGGCGAGAGAAGAATGGACGATCGAGAAATTTTCATACAATCGCGAAACGCCACGCTAATCGCTCGTATCGTGTAATTTATTATGAGGAATCGATGCGCGCGCAGTTAACGCGCGAGCATGCGCGCTGCGCGAAATGATCGCGCAAGCCGCGTGGCATCGCTGCGCTTCCGGTGTGCACCGCGCCAAGATCGACCCTGAAGATCTACGCTAGCCTCACGGAAGACAGGAAAATGTTCTTTTTCTTTCCTTGCTACGTCAGCCCGTCGTCGCGCGACTTCTCATCGCGCTAGGGCGAGAAGCGACGACGTATCGCGAGCCGATATACCTGCTTCCACTTGTTTTCCTCGTGGAACAATCAAGGCCATCGCGAGATAATTATCCAGATAACGGTGATGCTCGCCGGTATCCCAGCCGCACGGAGGATCTACAGGTCCGTTCCTTGCCTAAAGATAAGCTTTCAGCCATTTTTCTCTCTGTGTGTCTGTCTATCCTTTACAACAACGTCGATCTTTGCTCTTTCACACGTATACATAATAACGCATACACACGACCCGATGTTGAATATCTTTGTTGATTTTCATTTGTCCGGACGTATCGCGTAGACGTCGTTGCATTTGCATATGAAACGTATATTACTTTTTTACACGTTACAAGGCAGATTCCTTTTTTTTTTTTTTTTTTTTTTTTTCGAACAGTATCTAGAGGCAACTCGCTCGAAAGGAACCGGTTCGCACAATTAATTGCGTAACCATTTAGTCGTGCCAGGACGATGTCGCGCCAGAGTTTAGCGAATGCGCAGTCTTTTCGTTGGCAATAGGTACTCTGTTCGACGCGATTAAAAATCACCCGAGCGCGATTAAAAGGATCGGTAAGTGAACGCGCTAACAGCTAATTACCGTAACCTTTCCAATAATTATTCGTCGACGAAACGATCGAATCTGACCTGATACCACCGAAACACGATTACTCGTACTCTTTTCTATTATTTCTTTCTTTTTCCTGTTCGTGATTGTACGTACGTTTTGCCATAAGCAGATAGGAAGCGAATGGGGGAAAAGGAGAGAGAAATTTTCTGCAAATTTCCACAAGCTGGAACATTCGAGAAACGAGAAATTTCTCCCTTCTCGGCGGCGATTTGTCGAGTTTGTTACAGTTCTTCATCTCGTTCTTACTTACGCGTCTCACAACGAGACGATTTCGTCTTTAGGGATAACGTCTGTCATAATTTACAACGATGCCCGGCCGCGAAACAGCCGAGGAACGCGAGGTTTTTCTTTTTTTTTTTTCTTTTTTTTTTTCTTTAACCAAACTTATCGTTTTAAAGCATCGGCTTATCACCGTAAAATATCATCGCAGGCGCACATTTAACGGAGCAACTCGTTGAAAAATCGTCAGGAACACACGAGTCCAGAGATAAAATCAATTATGCTCGTTGTGTTATCCGCTTAATACACCGAATTCCTATTTAACAGCGCGGCCGTATCTTGGTTGGGGGACAAGCAAGCGAATAGTAATTTTGCGCGGTGCCAATCAAAGTGCGGATTAAATCTGTTAATGGTCAGGCAAAGCTTGTAAATCCATATTCGAAAACCGATTAAGAAGATTTTCCAATTTTCCCGCTATCTATTGATTTCGTACGGTTAACGCGATTATCGTCTGGCTCGCAAACGGCCGAAATTAATATCAGAAAGCTTACGATTTGCGCCAATTACCGTTTATTGGAGTCAAATGAAGCCGAACGATCCCTTTGCACTGCATGATTTTCCGTGTAATGTAATCCACTCTCGTATAACGTGGTGCAAACGTATCTCCTTTTAACCAAAGTGCAAACAAAAGGGAAACAGCCTCTTCTGAAAGAGAGAAAAATTTGCAAAGATCTTCGTGTTCGCATGTTCCACTCGCGACAAGTAGTTACAAGATAACAATCGCGTGAACGATCGATTTTTTAGTTGGCGATGTTTCAGGAAGATACGGGTTTTAAGATTTTCTTTTTTTGCAACACCTCGTGGATCGATGATCTATGAATTTTACATGTGCATTGCAATATTTTCGACAGTATTATATTATAGATTTTTCTATAGTTAAAATGTTTTGTCAAAGATAAAGAAACGAAAGAGAAATTATGTTCGTTGTGACGATTCCATTCCATCAAAATAATAAGCTTTTTAAAATGAAAAATTTGTTAGTGTAAAAACGATTAAAATCATTTATATTTTGGGTATTACGATGGTAGGAATTTTTATTGGCAAAGAATAGAATATTGGACAGACATTTTCTGCTGAAATATCGCGCTTTAATAGCCAATCAATAAGATAAATGTGTTTATCTTAGCGTTTGTTTAAAAGATAATTGAAAATCTGACATTTATTTATTTATTTTAACTTTCAACGTTTACGCGTACTGTAGTTTTCGACGGATAATTTTATTTGTATTGTAGGTATGTGTATCGTTTCACTCTGACTTCATAATTACATTATTATTACATATCGATTTAATAACTGCTAAGTTTTTGGCATATGAAAATCAGAAACGAAACGAGAAACTTTGAAATAACAATATTTAATATAATTCATTAAATTCTATTTTTCAAAAGACAAATAAGTATTTCTTATTAAACATTAGTGATAATTATTCTAATTAATTATTAATTATTCTAATTCATTGGTGCATTTAATAATGAAATTATCATTTTTATACATGTATCGATGCAAAGATATGTAAATGTAGAGCGAAAGATATGCTTAATTGAATCGAAACTGTGAGAGAACTCGCGTTGCGTGACTAGCAACGTTTGAATTCGAGCGCCCTTCGCGCCATTTCCCCCGGCAGATGCACGAAGGTCAAAAGTATTTTAAAAATAAGGCCGTAGGCATTGGCAGATTGGTATGGTAGTGGACGTTAAGGGTCGGGTGGCGTTGTAATGGCAAAAAGTTTGCGAAAGGTGAGTAATCATCGGGACGATAAACAAACTCGGGTTGTTAGTGTATACGATGCGTTAGTTAGCTGGCGCTGGGTTTAGGTAAATAAAGCCGCGTGTGAAGCGTGTTTGAATGGTTAGAAATCGAGCATCAACAAATCGAGTTTTCGCGAGAAGGCTCGTGGCTAGACGAGCACGGCCGACAATGGCGCCCAAGCCTCGCGAATATTGACATTGCCGAAAACATTATCTTCGAATATAGGATATTATCATATCCGTGGGTGACATACTACGTCGCAATTAATACTCTAATCTTCTTTTAATTCGCGCTACATTTATCGAAGTGAAATCGCGGACAGTGTTATTTGTCGGTTGTCGAGGTTATGCGAAAAAATGTTTTCGGCACGTATAGTAGCGACGCGTGAACCCTGAAGGGTTTTACAGTTATACTGCAATGTGGCACATTTGCAGAAGCACGGAGGAAGTTGTGTGGGTCTAGAGTTGCGATATAATCTCTGAGGAGATATCGTCAGGCCGATATAGGAGAGTGTGCGTGAAGAAGGCGTGTGAGTTAACGTTTTAAGGGTTAGGGAGTCATTCTGTAGTCAGGGTGATCAAAGTCTTTAGTGTGGACAGTTTAGGGCAGCTAGTTTGGTTGTAGGGTCGGGATTGGAGATAGACAAGATGGACCAACAGTATTGCCTACGATGGAACAATCATCCAGCCAACCTCACAGACGTTCTCAGCTCTTTGCTTGCCAGAGAGGCACTCTGCGATGTAACCCTGGCTTGTGTTGGAGAGACATTCAAGGCACACCAAACGATACTCTCTGCATGCAGTCCATATTTTGAGAGCATTTTCCTCCAGAATACCCATCCCCATCCAATTATATTCCTGAAGGATGTCAATGAAACGGAAATGAAGGCGTTGCTGCACTTTATGTATAAGGGGGAAGTTAACGTTAGTCAGCATCTGCTACCAATGTTCCTTAAAACAGCTGAGGCGTTACAGATTAGAGGCCTCACTGATAATAGTGTTAATAACAAGGCAGAAGAGAAAAGTCCATCACCAGAACCAGAAACGCAAACTGGTGTTAGGCATACTGAATCGCCTAACCTTCAGCCTCTTCCTGAAAAGAGGAAACGAAAGGCTTCTGGCAGCTATGACGTTTCCCTTAGTGGTCCACCCAGTGAACGGTTCATGTCAGATTCTCAGGTATGTAATTTTAAGTGGTTTATATTGATGTTATTAGTTTGTGCATGTAAGTTTCATTAGATTTATGTTTTTATTCTTTAATCGTTCAGATATCTTTTTCCTTTGTAACTATAATTATTATCATTACTTTAATGTCTGGATGCATAATAAATAATTATTTGGCAAAAAGTCTTACAAAAACAATAATAGAACAGAAAATAGTGAATTAGTTGAATTCATTCTTGCAGATTATTCCAAAAATATTTGTACATATTTGTACATATTTTCTTAGAATATTTATTCCAATAAATTTGTCAACGTTGTTCTTTCAATGATATAGAAAGCTTAAAATAACACATTTCCTTTTTATCTTTATGATTTTTAAAGTGTCTTTGTACTCCGATAACTGTAAATACTAGTTGCTCCATTTTTAGGTTATCTGTATCCTATTTGCAATGTTTAAGAAACAGACTATGATAAAATGAAGAGAAAATTATGTTTCAGTGAGAAAACATTTTAACAATGTTAAAACAATCATACATATCATATATTTTTAAAAATGAGATGTATAAAATGTATGTTGTATTTTTTTCTTACATGTTTATTTTATGATTCAGTTATCGTTTCTTTTTTATATTTTGTGCAAACTTATAATTTAGCATTAGATTAATGTAAATTAATCACTTTTGAATAAATAATTTTCAAAACATATGCTCCCGCGAAGTTGTGCGCGTGCGTTGTGTATGCATGCGTACACGTATGCACGTGTAGTCACGTGTATATGCGCAAAATTTCCTTACAGGTAGCGCTTAAAAATCAGAGATAACGATCGTATTTTATTATTATTAAACTATATATGCGTGTGATTGGACAGCTTTTCAAATATCTGTTTCTTTTAACCTTGAAATATATAGCAAATGCTGATCTTAAAATATTATTTCTGCCACAGACTAATCCATCAGAAATATTGATGTTCTGAATAATTTCTTTTTTTAAATAATTTCTTTGTATTATTCATTTTGATAGAAATTTTACAAATAATGTACAATAAGGAAAATAATTTAAAATTTTAGTCAATTATAACAATCTTTCTCTTTTTTGTCATTATTATGAAGAAAAATTCCCCTTTACCTTGTAAACTTAAATAAATTGAATATAAATATTATGACAATTACATATAGTTAGGACGTTCCTAACTTGTTTCTAAAATGCATAATCTTGTACTCTATTGTTTTTCAGGCGTCATCTCAATGTAGTTACAAATCGAGTCCCCCCGTGATTCCAAAGTTAAACAATGCCATGGGAGGTGAAATGGAAGATGGTGGTCGACCTATGTCTCCTGCATCACAGCCACAACCTTCGATCAAGCAAGAGTTAGATCATCACTTACCAGACTTCCATGACAACATTTCCCTCCCAGTGAGTAACTTTGTATACAAATAGTTTTCAGGTATTTATGAAAGAATGTGTTACAATATGCATGTAATGTAATTTGTAGCATGTACGTAGTTTATGATATGATTTGACTCTTTATAGATATGCTAATAAAATGAGTATGCTCTTTGTAACATAAAATTTGTGAATTCAATTTCTGATATATTTTTTTCACAATTCCCTTATCGTATTAATTATTTATTGACTTCAAAAATATACATTCAAATTAAATTTATACTCAAATATTGAATACAACATCTAATTCTAATAAGTATTGTCTTGATTGTTTTTAATATTAAATATATGTATATAACAAATGAATTATTATTTTCTTCTTTATATTTGTAGTAGTTAAAAGTTGCTTTGACATAGTGTAAATGGAATTAACTTCGTGTGTCATGTATTTCTTTTATTTCAGAATATTATCATATTTTTATTTTATTGCTGCATTTTATATTTGTAATTCATATTTTACAAAAAGCTTCTTCATGTGTAGCTTGTGAGCTATTCATGAAATCATGCAATATGTAAATCATACGAATAGCATGAAGTTTCGTTACTGTTCCTGTAATCAATGAGTTTCTACTATTTTCCTGCAACTACTCAGTCCAAACAGACATGGGAAGGAAGGGATATCTAAATAGAGATACAAAATTGGCTTCTTATATGCTAAAAGACAAAATCAAAGATGTGTTGATTAAACACATATCCTTTCCTTCTCTGTTGACAGACTAATGTGGAGTGGGAAGTTCAGAGAGATGGGAAGAGTGACGAAACAATGGATATACAGAACATGACCCAAAATCAACAAGATCCTGCTGTGATACAAGTTTCTTGCCAAAGCACTATCATGGCTGGAGGTTCTATGTCTATCAATATGTCAGGGACTGCATCTGAATCTTATGACAATTCTTATGTATCTTTGCAAAATCAATCTAATTCACACAATAATAATAATGCAGAATTCAATTCCTTACTCGGTTCAATTTCTGAAACTAATGCTAATGCTAAAAAATTTCAAAACAACAATGTACATAGGTCAATAATTGTAAATCCACAGCCAAGCATGTCAGTAATACAATCAACTTTGTGCAATAATTCACAACGTACAATTCCTCAAAGTAGAAAGACTGGTAAATTCAAAATTGGATGGTTGGACATGTATTCATGGCTTCAGTATGATGAAAGGTCGAATCTTATGTTCTGTAAATACTGTAGAAAATGGAGTGATTCAATTCCTGAAATACGTACTTCATTTGCTGCTGGGAATGGTAATTTTAGACTTGAGATTATCAATCATCATGATAAGTGCAAAGCTCATAATTTATGTGTAACTAAAGAGAGTGAAGCAAAAGGAAATTATACTTATATCATGGAAACCTGTTGATTTACTTTTATAATTTATAATTCTTTTTATAATTGTATCTTAATAGCAGCAGATTTTTTAATTAATTTAAAATTAATTAAAGGTCAGTTAAGATTCAATTTAATTTCAATCATTAACAAAATATTCTTATCATGCAAAACAAGAATGCTGAATGCTATAAAGACCTTTGTAAACATTTTTTTTTACTTTCTGTTATTCTGTAAGATTTTAGTTGCATGTATGATCATAATTATATAAAATTTTACCAGTCAACAAACTTTTAACAAACTTTAGTAGTCATATCACATTTTGATAAATTATAATAGTGAAAGAGCGTGTTTGTATAGTATTATTGAAAGCTATTTAAAAATAGACATTCTTTCTTCCTATATTTCCAATTGGATCAAAAATCTTTAAATCTAATCGTAACATTTCTAAATATTTTATATTAGTATGATTAGCATTATTATCTTTTCTTAGATAATTAATCATTGTAAGTTTCATCTTTTTATACCAATTGTAATATACAACATAGAATTATAAAATTATTATATTCAAATAGAATCCTTCTGTAAAATTTTGATTATAGAAGATTTTATGAAAACTTGTAATATTATATTAAAACGCAATAGTTGTTTAAATGTATAAAATTATAAAAGTAATATTAGTATATTAGTATTATTAAAGGTGAATATAGATTTTTAAGTGAAATGAATACGTTTGTGTTTTCGTCGTGAAAAAATATTTACGTTTTCACGAGTTATGTGTCAAAATTTATATTTGTAGATTTGCCGATTCAATATTTTTATGCAATACTATTTACATAGCCGTGAACTGCCGATGTATGTGTTGTAAACATTGAAATATTGTTAGAGTAAAACCGAATTGCCAAAGCATGTGCATTTTTGTGGTGATGTGCTTCTGTGATGAATATATCTCGCGTGAAATGTAAACGGAAGTCCAAATATTTTTATTATAGAGAATATTGATTTTATTCATATGAAATATGAAATATGAAATATGTACGAATAAACACGCATTTAGGATTTCGACAAATCGCAACATGAATTGTTGAAATCAAACTTTTGTTTCTTTCTCGTATTTGTTATTATTGATTATATACATACATTGATTATTATTATTATATATAATAAATAAAGAAGCGACTGTCACAAACTTTGTTTTATTAATTTAAATCGATCAATAGTTGCTCTATGCTTGCATAAATTAAACAAAACTTTAGGAAATAGAGAAACGTAACGTTTAAATTTTAGTTGAATGATTATCTCTTTTCCTATCTTATTTCTTCAGATAAATCAAATATATTTTATATATGAATTCTTGTCATACAGCATTAGTAACAAAGTAATAGGTTTCAATTTGGAGAACTGAATTTTCTTAGATAAATGCATTGAAATGTCTGTTTGTTTCATAATTTAATTTATAATGTATATAATCCTGTGCTGCAGGGTCATCCAGTTGGACTGCTAGGAGAAGAAGCTGGAGCAACAACGGGCACGCTAAGCGATGGCGTGTCAGGAGGAATTGAATCGTCTGAACATCATAATCCGCCAGAAATGCTCGACGGACTCGATGGTAAGACCTACAAATATCTATCATTACAATCAAAATTACATTTTAGATTTCACGTATTTCCTTAGCTCGTTTGAACATCATCGTTTGTTGCAACGATGATCTTGCTAAATCATCAGTTTTCTAAAGAACTTATTTTAGGGTAATCCATACATGCTTTATCTATATATTTTTTTGTTTTTTTTTTTTTTTTTCACTTCTCTTCTGTGATATAATAAATACAATTGAGAACAATGGCCAAAGAAGCGACGGAAATACCGGAGATCTAAGAAATCGAGGGAGATGTGCATGCACGTTTGCAAGAATTTTTGCGCGTCGAGTCGTACATAGGCGTACGAAGCGAGCATCCCTCTATTTCCAAGTCTGGCAAGCGTAGTGAGTGGTAACCTCTTTTTTAGAAAACACGAAACAACTTTCTTTGCTACGACGTATCCTGTATATGTGTATGTATATATATGCATACATGAACCGACTATGTGTGTGCGTGTATTATATATATATATGTATATATATATATGGGTATAGATAACACATAATATATTCATCCTTGGTGTTGTGGTGATGGTATCGTGCATTTGCTATGTCTCATATGTGGTAGTTACAAAATCTGTAAATGTGTTAATAATGCAATGGGAACACTGTAACAAAACAAAACAAAAAAAAAAAAAAAAAAAAAAGGAAAAAAAAGACATAGTTGGTTTTTCTCCTTGGGAAGTGGACATTTCTTCTGTTGGTATCAGCAAATGGACAATACTGTTTTTGATACTGAGTTTTTTTTGAAACGGTTGTGTGGTTGATGGACTGTATATATGGTCTCGTTTGTGTTGCGTTTTTTTCCTTTCTCTCTTTTTTTATTTATTTATTTTTTTTT